TGTCCAAAACCGACCCACTGTGGTCTTTGCTGGTCTAATGACTCAGTGTCAATCTTGGGGCCAAGACCAGAGCTGGAGGGATAAGGGGAGCACCTCTGAGACATATTAGCCTCACTGTGTTGGGAAGCACACCTGGGTCTGTCACAGGCTGCCAGCGAGTGTTGCTGGGTCTCCCCAGGAAAGCTTTCTCTCTGTCTGATAAACTGTATTCCACAGTTTAAGCTGGGTTAACAGCTTGTTTTGAGACCATCCAATGCAAGAAGAAACAAGGAGTCTTGGGAAAGAGAGACACTAGGTCTTTATGATTCTGGCAGATCTCTTCTGTTGTGCCATGTGTTGAACCTGCTGGGTAAAGGATTAGGACATTGTATGTCCAGAGATAAAATGGAGATTTTTTTTGAGGCTGACACCAATTTAGAAGATGCTGTCAGAGGGGTTTTTTTTGTGTATTGTTTTTTTAATGATGAAATGCAATGCCTTTTATTCCTAACAGACTAATCAGGCAGTTGGAGCCTAGACTAATCAGGCAGTTGGAGCCCACAGTTCACAGTGAGCAGATAGTAAAGTTCCTACTCTGTGTTTGGGTAGGGTCTTGCAAATAATCCCTTTAAGTACCTTGTTTGTTTTCTTGCTGTAAAGTGACACTTGTCTTGGAAGGGGAAAAAAAAAGAGAAAACAAAACAAAGTCAAATAGAGAATAACTCAGAGCAAACAGTAGAAAACATTTCCTAACAATACGGGCTGGAAGGCTCCGTGTTCCTTGCAAAAACAGCCATGGGTGCAAGATGCTGCACCTCAGCCACGTTAGGGAAACATGGGAAAACCACTCTCTGACCTGGAAGAAAATGGAGAAGGAAGAGTTTCCAGACCAGTTACAAAACTACTCAACTCTAGTCATCAAGGCCAGACTTAATATGCTTAGAGCTGATACCAATTGAGTTTAAAAGCCATTGTCAAATGTGTTTGTAGCTAAGTGGCAGAGATTGCTGTCTGGATTTGGCTCTGGGGCTGAGGGCCAGCAGGAGGGAGCTCCTCACCCTGGCTCCTGCAGGCAGGTGGGGCTGCTGGCTGGGGCTTCACCTCGCTGCCTGGGGATGAGTCCTGCTCTGGGGAAGCCAGAGCCCAAATGGTCAGGAAATGGGCTTGACAGATGAGAGAGGCCCGGGGATAATGGCTCGTGTGAGTGATGGGCAGGCGGCGTGGTGGGGAGCGCAGTGGCGAGACACGGCTGGCTGAGCTAAAGACTCCATTAGACTGAAACTGGAGCAGTGTCCAGGGTACATATTACTGACTGAGGTCTGGGGCTTACTGGACAAGGGTGAGGTGCTGCACAATGTGGTTTCAGGGGGCTGTTTACACTGTGGTGGAGGAAAAGCAAACCAAAGCCATGCATTGGACAAAGAAGTCGATAAAAATACCCGGGTGGGAATGTGCACATTGCTTGATATGATTTGGTGTCCCAAATGGCCTTAAACAGCCCATAGAATGTCTACGTCTAAAACAGATTCCAGCAAAGGAGAACTTTTATGATGCACTAATAGGCTCATTAGGCTTTCTTGAGCAAGGCACGCTTACAGCATTGTATGTTTTTTTCCATTACAGGAATTACATGTGTTTTGTTGTGCTTTGGGTTTTGTTTTGTTTTCCACATAGACTTGCCCTGACAGTTCCCCCATTCAGGTTTATATTGGAGGTACCATCCCGAGCCAATGAATTTTATGAAATATGTTGCTGGCACTCACAGGGAGATGCATAAAGGAAATATTCTAATGACAGTTGGAAGGGCTTTGATCCCTTTCCAAGACTGCACTCACGTCTTTGAAATGTGAGTTTGGCAATGCTGGAAAGGCTGGGTTCTCTGGCTCTCTTTGGCACGAGCCCATGTGACAGACATTATGTCCTCTATCAGGGGACCCACATAACCTTGAGAAGTGTAAGCAATGCTTGCAGATTGCGTTGGGTCAGATAGTCTGGGCTGATAACAAAGCAGCCGCGGCAGCAGGGGGGAGTCAGCCCAGTCCAGCGCAATAACTGAAAACTATTTTGACCTGGTAACTGTTGGGTCTGCTGCCTGCGGCTACATCGTTGGACATGAACTGCAAAAGTAGTTAATTTATGCCTCCTTGAGTGTAGGAATGTGGTGATGATGGATAGGGATGGGAGGTTATTAGAAACATGGGGAGGAAGGAGAGGATGGAATTCCAGCTCGTGTTTTTATCTCTTACACACACACACACACACACACACGCTGGCTCCTTTGCATACACACTCTTGGCTGTCTTGCACGTGTGCAGTGCCAAAGCCACGCTTACACACTTGTGCCTGTCTTTCATGCACACACATGCAGGCACATGCTCACATGTTACAAGGGATTTTCCTGAGCTAAGTGCTCGAGCATGTTTATATGCTGGGATTTGCAGTTACTTCCTCCCAAGCACGATCTGTTTACACCTACTCCGGTGCAAACTCTTCGCTAAAAATCCTCTGTGTGTTCTGTCCTGACACTGTTTGATCCTTGAGATCCCTTCCAACCTGGTGCTCTATGATTCTGCTCACTCACAGACTATTGTTGGTTAGCAAAGCCATGATCAGAGACACACTACAAAACCAAGTCCAATTGACTTAGCCCTGTGGGTTTATGTAAGATGTGAGTTCGGTCTCGGTGATGCGCTGACATCACCGGCCAATTAGTTAAATGCTCTCTGCTCTGGCTGTTGTCTGCAGAAATATTCAGTGTACAAAACAGCCCTAGATGCCGAAGCCCATAGTCTGTATGTGAGAGAGGGAGCGACTGTGGCCATGTGCTGGGGATATAAATGAGCACTGGGGTATGTAAATAATAAGCAGAGAGACAGCTGAGAATAAAGAAATATTAGTTTAGATTATTTGAAACCATAAGAGAAGAGTGAGGATAAAAATGGTAATCTCAGGAGGGGAGTTTGATTGTAGTTACTCCTACAGGGATTTGCATAGGCCATAAAGCATCTGGATCCAGAGTCAACAGCCGCAGTCTCAGTACAGACAGTGGCCTTTCCTTCCTGCTGTGAGACAAAACACACCAACGGTTTTCTACTTAGAGGTACGCAGTGCTTCTGTTTCTGTCCTTTTCTCCCTTGCACAAAGTATCACATCACTCCCACATTCTCTCTCACCCTTTTTCCTGCTGTCTTTTACTGATGCTGCCATACGTGCTGACATACACGTTGTCCCCCCCTCTGCCACATATTCCCCTGATGTGCTTACACTCCATTTGGAAACGTACATTTGTTCTCATATGTACTTTCAAGCTATTGCTCGTGGACATGTGTAAGTATGAGCCCATGTTTGGAAAAGATGTTTTCAAAGGCACAAAGAAGATCCTGGAATTAGATTACGTGCAACCTCAGAACGCTGGGCAGCTACATGCAGGACAAGCTTGAGGAGTTCAGGGGAAGATCTGTGTATTTTCCATAGATATGTTGGGAACACTGGAGAGATGAGAAATGTGTAAAGGGTCACAGCGCTGACCTGTCCTTCAGGATGTCATCCACATTTGATTGGAAGATAAACACTGTATGGAATGGAAACATACCCTTCCACTGGTGTCCCCAAAGAGCACGTCTTCCTCCATGAGTCAGCGAGGGCCTGGGGACACCCAGCCATGAACTATTTTGGAGGCAATGACTTCAGCAAGTGGCAGGGGAAGCTATTGTGGAAATATGAATGTATTTTCCATTGGTGAGTCCTCCAGGGAAGGACAGAAAGATCTTGGTGCTGGGCCAGGTCCCCTATTTTTTCTTCACCCTTCTGGGAATGAAAGCCTTGCAGAGTATGCAAGGAACCCTACATACTGCATGTGAGCGTGTTTGGTTTGAGAGAGCTACGTGAGCCCTACACACACACGTTACATACAGAAAGGAGGACTTTAGGAAGCAGGAATCAACCTGTGTGAGACCATCATGGTGCCCTTTCCTTACAAGCTAGTCAACAGCACTTGACTCAGTGTGATCTCTCTGTTTTTTTCTGCTTGTCAAGTGAATATAGTACAATTTATCTGCATTTTAGATCTTGTGCTAGCACAATGCTTCATCATCAGAGGACAATGCGAGCTAAGAACAGAGAGCCAATGGGTTTACTCCTGTGCTTCACTTCCTCCAGCTTTTCTGTGAGTTAGAACATCACAGTGCCACTGAAAGCAGTGTGGCACCACAGTCCACACGCCAGCAATTAGCTCCTGTATTTCAGTATTGACAACGTCTACTCCTTTAATGGAGTGCAAAAAATACATCCAGTGGCCATCGAGATTAAAGGCTTCACTTTGCTTGTCTGTGAGCAGATTGCTCTGAAACCTCCAGACATCCCAAAAGCCAAGAGGAAACTCTACTCACATCGGTGGGGGATGACCTAAGGAGCCTTAGAAATTTCTGTCATGGTAGAGGTACCACTCCTGTGGAGATCTCTTGCAAGGAGATCACTTGGCACAGCTTTTCTTACTGAAAATAGCAACTCCCAACCAACGGTCCTGTGTCAGGGTTAGACCGTGTGCATCTTGGCACAAGTAGCTGGCACTGGTGCTAAAGGAGTAACTTTGTGAGCTGGTGTTAGTTGCTGTGCCAGCCTGAGGATGTGAAACTTGTTATTGTAAAGGAAAATTAGAGGTAACTATAATAAACATCTCAGAAGAAATGTGTAAAGTAACTGCAGATATAAAAAGATTTACTGACCATAATACCTGGTTAATTACATTCATAATAAATAGATGCCTACACTTATCTCAGGAATGTGGACAGCTTTATGTATTTACCTTGGATTTTGTGGTCTTTGTTAATCAATGGCCTGAAGTCCTTAGATGAAACTCACTATATGCAAAGTAATTGAAGTTTGGGAGTGGGTTATGAAAATACTTCAGATGACTGATACGCAGGATATTATAAGATCTTTGGCTGGATTGCAGCACTTCTTCAATATTTTGTTGCTTTTTGTGTCACCTTTAGAAAAGATATGCTTTTGTTTTTCTACAGAGCATACTTAGATGTCAACGAACTGAAGAACATACTCAAACTGGATGGATCCACGCACCTCAACATCTTCTTTGCCAATTCCTCTGAGGAAGAGCTGGCTGGAGTGGCAACTTGGCCCTGGGACAAGGAAGCCTTAATGCATCTAGGTGAGTGATAAAGATGTTTCTTTTTTTGTAAAGCATTCTTTTGAGGAGCTGAGAAGGAAAGACAAATATGCGTTAAGCTCTGTTCTGATTTCTTATCATTCCTCTAATATATAGTCAGGGGAAAAAAAGTATTGCACGATTCCCAGATACTGGCTCACAACCAGGAAAATATTAGGTTATAAACCCAAAGCATATTATGGTATTTGTAGATGATGTCAAGCTGAAAGTATTTCACCTTTTAAGTGAAGCTACTTTACAGGGCATTCACTCCATGGGAGCACTTTGTGAAGAAGATTGGGGGGGATAGGTGGGGGAATGCTAAATAGAAGTGAATTTTTAACCTTAGCCTGTTATGTTCTGCTCCATAGTTCATTACCTAGTAAGAGTTCAATTAATTTTCCTCACAAGCTGTAGTTAAAATTTGTTGTTATTTTTCTCTGCCAATGTGCAAAAGAGCAAACTGCTGGGAGATTGTATTTCTAATGTTCATTTAAGTGGAACTGGAAAGAATTCACTACCCTGCAGACTGCCCTGCGTGTTTCATAACTAGGTTGCTGAGTATGGCTGCTGGAACCCAGGGATCCAGACAAAGCTGTGCAGCCTCCCAAATGACTCATTGCCCTGACACCTGCAGTGCCACTGGACTTGTGTTCCTTGCAAAACGTCAGATGAACCTCAAAAGGTTCAGAAGGCACAGACTCAGTCTGTTTGTACTCCTCTTAACTGCACAAACCTCCCTCAGGCTGCGAACCTGATCTGGTCATCTTAGTAAAGCAGGGATTCTCACAAGTTTTCCAGATATTTCTTCAGCTTGTCCAGACCTTCCTAGGCTGGAGGCAAAGTCTAGTTTCAGCCAATTTCAGTCTTTGTGAGAGGCTCTTTCAGCCAGTTTTTATATTACCCAACCCCATGCTGAGCAAAACAAAGAAGACATAGTAAATGTAAACCTAGGTGAGGAGAGCAAAACATGGTGCTTATTGTTCTAAAGCATGCTATGAGAGCTGAATTACAATCGAGCATCAGTCAGGGAGGTGTTTCCACATTCAAAAGTACATTACCCCAAAACTAGACGTTAACATCTCTTATAGTCACCTGTTTCCAGAGCTCTGAGAGGCTCCACGGTCCAACCAAGCAGTTGGAGCTGGCTGCCCTACTTCAGTTAGTAAACATTTCATTGCAACATTCAGCTGCGCAGCTGCTCTGGAAGAAGTGTGAGCAGACTTCCCTTCCCAAGGATGGGCTCTGACACATATCCAGTCTCCTGCTGAGCTGGGCTGGACGTGAAGCCACTTCCACTCTGACTTGCCTCCAGCCCCATCTGCATGGGCTCCTGCTGGGGGCACCCAAACCAGAAGATGCTGAAAATGCCCAACCCTGGGCATTCCCTGCGGGAACATCTTTTGACAAAGATGTGATTTCTATTGCTTTGTAGTAGTATTTCTTTTGCTGTGTTTTCTGTTGCTTTGTAGTACCGTGACCCCTTACTCCTGCATTAGCCCCGCAGTAGCTCTGTTTGCTTCTGGTTGTGTAACAGCATGGGTTGCTGATGAGAAACATTAGCCCTGATGCCACTGCTGGAGTGAAATAAGCTGCAATATAGCCAGTCCTTCCCTAAATGAGTATTTTCACAGCTTCCCTTGGTGTTGCCATGGGAGGGAGCAGAGAACAAGGGGAGAGCTCCAGAGTGCCAAGAAGAACCTTCTGCAAGAGGGCTGGGGCTTGCCGAAAGCCCTGATGAGTTCTTCTGTCACTTCGTTAAGCTAATTGTCAACATCATGCCTAAGCAAAACAATTTAAATTCAGCCTCTACAGTGTATTGACAGAATTCATTGACCAAAAAAAAAAAAAAATCTCACAAGAAAAAAAAAGACATTAGCTAACAGTTTAAAGTTGATTTAGAGTGGAAAAAGTAAAAATAAATAAATAATGGTCATAATTTCCTGTCATAATAGTCCTCCCAGACCTGTGCTTGATCTGTAAGAATTCATCTTTAATCTTTTTTACTCTCTTCTATAAATCCAATATGTACTTAATAAAAAGTATGAAATATGTCCTGTGGTGCAGATCTAAAGGCTGGGATAGAGATTGTCTAGGTGAAGGAGTTTATCTTCTCTGCAAAACTGCAATTGATTTAGATTCTTGACAGCTGTGAAAAATATAAATTTTCAACAAAGGCAAAAATAAAATTTCCCTCTCAGCTGCCTCAGGGCTGTCCAATGCGAGAACCATTTACTCAGCCTTTATTTTGAAGGCACATCCTGATGAGGAATTTCATGCATACTCTTGCCATTGGAAAACAAACTCTGGAATTATCTTTGGGAAAGAGACTCCCCCAAAGTATACCAGGGTCCTGTCTGAGTGTAAATGGCTCCACCCGGGTAGAGACCAAGCACCAGAGGAAGCAGAGAATGTGTTGTGGAAACGGGAAGAGAGAGACACAGGGGATTGCTGTGGGTGAATACCAGTAGGGCTGTCTACAATTAACTGGGATTGTGGAGAACTAGACTAAGGAGCAGTTCCATGCTGTGAAAAGGATGTGCAGATGCTCCATGTGGCAGAAGAGGTGTGATGTTGTCTCTTGGTTTGACTTTATTCACTCTTTTTTGTCTGTATTTAAATTCTCAGTTCATTTTTTTTAAGACTATGTCTGTATTTGTACATGCCCACGTGACTGCTCTCCACTGTGCACATGTAGGCACACGTGCCCGTGCACAAAGGACAAGTCTTTGCTCTGTTGCTGTTGATGCAGGACATCTGAAGTGGCCCTTCCTCTCCCTTCAGCACTGAAAACATTTCATCTGGAATCTGTTGTGTTTAGACACTGTACTTGGAGGAAAACGTGAGACAACCAGGAAAACCAAAGGAGAACACTCAGGGAGGTCTAGAAAAACGAACTACAAGGAAAGGCTGAATGGATTACAGTTATCCAGGCTGAAGGAAGAGAGCTTAAAGTGGGGATGATGACAGTCTCATAAAAGCTGATGAAAGGGGAGAGAAATCTTCTGTTCTTCATATCCATCTGAGGCAGGACTTGAAGTCATGAACTTAAATTGCTGAAAAATCAATTCAGGTTAGATGTGAGTAAAATCCTTGCAGCCGTAAGGATACGTAGTGTGGAAGTTGATTGCTGGGTGAGTCATGACATCAGGGGCTGTGAAGAGATACTAGGCCAGTATATGTGAGGGACAGTACAGACCTAACTGGTCATGAGTTGTTTGAGATTGGAGTTTAGATGATTTCTTAAGATCTTCTTGGTTTGTCTTTGCCTCTAATTCCATGGTTATTGCAACCAAGTCTCCAGGCAGTTGAGAAAAAAGTGTCTGTGGTGCATCAGAAACCAGTGATCTCATCTTCCCTACCCTCCAGCCACTGATAAAAACCCGTTTTTCTCTTTCCCCCTACCCTCCAGCCACTGATAAAGTTTCTCCTGCCAAAACCTTTTCTCTCCTCATTGTCACTAAATTATTAGTGTACCACATCCAAGATTTATTTTCCCAGTATAACTTTCACAAAGCAGTCTCCCATTCTCATGGTAGGCAGTATACACAAAGAGTTTTAAATAAAAGGCTTGGAAAAGTTGAGGTCAACAAGCTAGCTAAAGAAAATATGAAGCAAACCATAAATCCAGAGGTACATCTAGCTGAGCTAAAAAAATAATTCTTATGATTAATTCAATATACTGTAAATCCTCACTAATTTACTATTTGCTTATCTACATATCCCATAATTCATACAACAAAAAAAAATCATTGTTGATTTTCTTTGTGCACATTTAACAGCCATGTGGTTCTGTTGGAATTATCACATTCCAGGATTTCATGTTTTTTTGACACATTAGACTTATGCATATTCATCAGTGGACTGTGCAGTTCAGATCAAACTAAGCTTGTCTGGGTATGTGAACAGAGCGTGTTTCTGACAGTTCCTTCAAAGCTGTCTGTATGATCAGAGCACACCCTGCAAAAACTGCTCCAGCCTTGGGTGTATTCTGTTCTCTTTGTCCAGCTATTAGTTTGCAAATATTAGTGCAACCTACTGCAATATTTAGGGCGTTTCAGAAGTTAATAAGCTTCTGTTACATCTTTACCTGGTGCAGTAATATACAGAGAGCAAGCACTCCAAGTATGTTTTGTTGGGCTCTTGGTATCAAATCCTTTGTTTATGTTATATGAGCAGGATCATTCTTTTTAACCACATTATTTGAAATTGCATAGTACAAAGTAGTTAAACTTAAGATTTTTCTCTAAGTTAACAAACCAGATTGAGCATATGCAGTTGAACACCGACTGACATTGTGGTTTTGGTTTAGGACACTGGGCTCTGTCCCACAATTCCTCATCCTTAGAGCTCCACATCAAGATTAAGCCTCACTGTGCAGTGTCTCTGAGCAAGAAGTGTGTCTGATTGTGCAAAAAGCAACCTATGCTCTAGAGGATCCAACTAACTGCCAGTAGAACTGCCCTTAAGGTTGTCTTCCTTTCCCTCGCTGTTCTGAGGAAGATCAGGCAAACATAGAAGCTATTCTCCTTTCCTCTTGCAGGTGGCATTGTGCTGAATCCCTCCTTCTATGGAATCCCTGGCCACACCCACACAATGATCCACGAAATTGGGCACAGCCTGGGGCTCTACCATGTCTTCCGGGGAATCTCTGAGATCCTCTCCTGCAGCGACCCGTGCATGGAAACAGAGCCCTCCTTCGAGACTGGGGACCTCTGTAGTGACACCAACCCTGCTCCCAAGCACAAGCTGTGTGGGGATCCTGGGCCTGGCAACGACACCTGCGGGTTTCACAGTTTCCTAAACACGCCTTTCAGTAACTTCATGAGCTACGCAGGTACTTGGGTGTCCTCGGTTTGCTGGTGGTGTCTGTGGTTGGGCAAGACCAAAGAGTAGCAGCACGACCTCTGATTTCTACAGTCCATTTCATGTGGGGCTTTATGTGTGTGTCCATTGGTCTAAGACCAATTTATGCGGAATCAAAACTGGTGGCCTCAGGAATCCCTTCTAGATCTCCTGTTCTTTTTTGGCAGTTTTTCTTTTCTTTACAGAGTTTCATGTGAAGACCAGGCAGAAGGTTTGGGGGAGGGAAGAAACGAGAAAACAGTTTCTAAAGGCTCTACAGCAAATTTGACACCCTATTTCCCTGGGATCTGGATGTCTGATCTTTGAGGACTTCCTTGGAAAAAAAAAAATAAAAAAAAATATATAGTTCAGAGACTGTTTATTCTCTCCCAAGGAGACCTTGAACATCAGATGAATATTGATATCACCAAGGCTGTAGGATGTCCTGTGATAGTAGATATCTAATGAAGCACTACTCATGCCTCCAGGTGTCTGTTCCAATATGTTAGTTGTTTGATTTGGAGTCACCGTGGCTCAGCTGGAACTACTCACATCTTTGTGGAGAGATCATCAGTGTGAGTACTAGGATGTTCCCTGGATCAGGATTGCTCTTCTGGTCAAAGACTACCAGTGTGCTGTGCTGGTTTGTGCTGGGAGTGCAACGAAAAGGGCAGTTAAAGGCAGTTATCAGTGCAGTTAAACAACCCCTCCAAGAGAAATAAGCTGCTTAAGCAAAAGCTTGATCTTGTAACTGCAGGCTTCTGTAGACACCGTGGTGTTACTCAGGGGTGCACTTGTGGCACTCCTACCAACCGAGTGCATGGCAGAGGGCATGAGCTCCTGTGACCCTTGCCCATTGGATAAGGGTGGGCTCCTTGCTGCATCTCTGGAAGTTCAAGGGGAGCTGGAGGATCCTCTGCTATTTCTCAGAATGAACAGGGGATACCTTAGCTCGTGTTTCTCCTTATTTGGGGTCACAGGGTCTAGCTGTGATGAAGGTCTGTGACACTGAGCTGACAGCACCAACAGCATTTTAAAGGTGACCAGTGTACTTCTAGCCACTGAAGGGCACTTTTATACTCCAGACAGAAACACAGATTGCCCACTCAAAAGGTCATAGGAGTGCTTATTCTGTGATAAAACTGTAGAGAAGCAAAGTGTTTAATGTCAGCTGGGGCACAGATTGCAGTGATTTATAACAGAGATGCTTTTATGTCCTTCATGGCACTAGCTAAAAGTGATGCTTGGATTTCTGTTTATTTTTCTGTTTGTTTAGAGGGTGTTTTCAGGGACAAACACCCCTGCTCTGAGTCAGCTCCTCAGTGTGCTGTGCGCTTTTGTGCGTGCGGTAGGGCGGCGTCCCGCTGCGTGATAGAGCCTTCTGGTAACCACCCAGATCAGCCCGTGCCTCTTCAGATGGCAATAGCCCTCCACCAAATCTGCATGTTTGTATGTGGCAACGGGTGGAGCCTGCTTGTTTCATAATGCTGAGATCTCTTCTTCCAAATAGAACTTGCCTTGCCAGTTCTCTGGAGAGCTGAGAGAGACAGACCACAGAGATATCTATCTGCTCCTGGGAGCTACGTATGTGCCAGTGTGATGAGCAGAATTCCCTTTTTTTTTTCCTTGAAAAATTAAGTGAAGGGATATGATAGGTATCTCTAGAGCTCATGCATGAATCTGTTTGCTTTTCTGTTGTTGCCAGTGGAATAAAAATATATCAGGATATCAAATTGCTGTAGAAATACCTTTGAAACATCTAGTTTGAGGTCATGCAGTTCCAAACATTGCCTTTCTTGCCTTTCTGTTTTGCTGCTTCTCTACAGCTTGATCATATTGTTTGTCTCTCTGTCTTTATCTCTAACATCCATCTGTCCAGTTCCTCCCACCTCTATAGCAGAGCACTTTTCTTTCCCTTGAAATATTGAGTTGAGATGTCCAGAAGACCAAGAAGTGTGAGAAATTAGACTTGTAAATTATTTTTACAAGTTTGAATAGCCATGGTGTTCCCAAATAAAAAGATAAGCCTTTTAGATGACTCTTCATGAAATCAGCAGGAACTCTGCCTCTGAATTCTGTTGGAATATTCATCCCAGCAAAGTCTTTTGAATGTCTCTAATTATTACTGAAACTGAGGAGCTTGAACATTTCTTGAAATCAAGTGCTCAAGTGGAATACCTTTCTCCCCAACCTCTCCTCCCATCCCCTCCCCCAGGACACAGCCTGTGCTGATGTTTAAACAGATTGAGAATGCAGGTCATCTTTCTCCTGTGCCATTGTCTCACTGCTTTGTCCTATATATATTTTATTGTTCCTTTATGATGCCTATTAAGGGCCTTTGTCTCCTTCTGGGCTTCCGTGAAGAATATTTATGGCTTTTACAGCATGCTCAGGGATAGACCATTGAGAATTATTGAGGAAATCCAGAGATGTCATATTAAAGTAGCTTTCTGCATACCCATGGGGATTTGTAGAGATTTTCAAGCTGGTGGTGTCTGTCTATCTGTTGTGCATGTTTGATGAGAGGAGCTTCACTGTTCAGTGGAATTAGGAGAGCCACAGGAGAACATGTGAACTGACATGTCCCTACTGTGGTAGGACAACATTTGGGGCTGTAATTTGAGCAGGATCCCACCCGAAGCTGTCTCCTTTTGTTTGCATCTCTGGGAAGATGTGGTAAGGTTTTAAATTAGCCGGTGAATTCACACTTCTCTTTAGAACAAATTCAGATTTTTTCGTTCCTCTGGAGTTCCTCAGGGCACGGGCTTGGAGACAGCAGAGCATCGAGTGCCGCTATGGCAATATTGAACTGCCAACGTACACGCACGCAAGCGACTCTCTGAGCAGCCTTTGGTGACCTGCATCTTCCCAGAAAAATGTATTACTTGACCTGTGCAAAACTGTCATTGTTGTTTGTGTCACAGCAGCGTGCAGAGGTCCCATCTGGGACTGAGCTTCACTGGGCTACGAGCTCTGCAGGCACATGTGAAGAAACACTCTGTCTTTTCAAGAGCTTTTCATCTGATGGGAAGAGTATCAGAAAAAAAATGGTTCAAGATCTTCAGTGTAGCTTTTCTGGCTGGCTTTGCACAACATATTTATTCCTTCTGTGATCTGCACAATAGAGAAATAGTCATTTTCTACTTCTCTGGGGCATTGTAGTTGTAAAGTTGGTTGGTGTTCAGAGGGCACTAGATGTGTTCCTCTTGCCAAATCATGTTTGGCAAAAACAGAAGAAATGAGGAGTGGATATTTATGGGAAATCATTCAGGAAAGTGATTGCTCCATTTTGAGTGGAAAAAAAAAATATTTAAAATGCTCAGGAAAAGTTCAGACAGGGGTTACCATCATCATGGTAATGGGGGATATTTTAAAGAGAAATAATGTTAGTTTACTGCATGAAAAGTTTCCACTTTTAATCATTGTTTGTAATTTTTTTTAATTGAACTTTCAGAATATTTTAATTTATTCATTAGAAAATTTAAGAACTTTTAAATATGTAAATATTTTTAATTCTGTGTTCTTTTAATGTAAGAAGCCTGCCCATCTATTGCACACAGTTTGCATGAATCTCAGCCAGTGCTTTATCCTAACACTACTTGTCCTTTGCCCTTTTCCCTTCTCTGAGATACTCTTTTAGACTTGAAATTCTTCTAAGCCCACAGTTCCACTGGTAGCCCCAATTCTGACCAGAAGGTGCTGCCCTGAGGCTTTCTGTTTCTTCATCTCCATGTGTCTCTGGCTCATCTAGGGATGACCTCTAGGTGCTTCATGTGTATCCTGGACCAGAGGGAGGGAACATTTATTGATTTATTTTTCCCTTTTAACTTTTGTTTCCTTTCACCTACCTCCACAACTGATGATTGCACTAATTTGTTCACAAGCCATCAACTGTTGATTGCTGGGAGAAATCGTCCCCACCCTTGCAAGAATCTCCCATTCTCTGGGTTGTACTTCTCTAGTTTGCTCTCAGCTTATCTCCTGGGTGGCTGATGTGGCTTCTACTTTAATTTCAGATGACGACTGCACCGACTCCTTCACACCCAACCAAGTGGCCAGGATGCATTGCTACTTGGACCTCGTCTATCAGAGCTGGCAGCCCACGAAGAAACCGGCTCCTGTTGCAATTGCCCCCCAGATTGTGGCTCGGACCTCCACCTCTGTCACCCTGGAGTGGTTTCCACCCATTGATGGCCACTTCTTTGAAAGGTGATCACACGCTGCTCTGTACCCTCACACTGAATTGAATGGAAAGGGAACAGGAAACAACCCGAGGCCTCAATCCAGGAGTGCAGCTTTGTCACGTGCTGTGCTCAGTCTGGATTAAGGCTCTTTCCTAAATTGGTTCCTACTGAGGAGGTTATTGATCTGTTTTCTGCTCTTCCTTTCTCAGCCTGTAGCACTCGGTTGAGGGCCATTGATTTGCCACGTAAAGGGCAAATCTTTTTCCATATGTTATGGGAGGAATTTTCAATCAATGATTCTGGCCTTGTGATTCCCACTGTTATTGCTGCTCACAAATACCTGTGGGCTTCAGCTCTGCCTGCACGTTCCCCCCTCCTCCTCTTGCACGTTGTCTTTGCAAGGACAAAGCGAATCTTTCTTCTACCCCTGTGACCACACAGAGCTCATGGGCAGTGGAGTCACACAGGGAAAGAAGGTGGCAGGGCCAGGGACAAAAACTGCCTCCTCACCTGAGCTGCAGGTCTGAGGTGGGAGTTGAGCGAGGCAGAGTCAAAGACCTAAACCCCTGAATATCGTGCAAATGTCATCTTGCTGCACCCTGAGCAGAGCATGTAGGTCAGGACACGTGTGTGTTATGTCTGGTAGGCGTGCAGCTATGTGGTACCCATAACAAAAAATGAAATGGATGTAGGGCTCTAGACAAGAGCTGCACCACACTGCAGCTCATAGCTGGAGCAACGTTACCCCAGGATGACCTGAGCAGCTGGGTAGTTCATCTAAATACTCCTACGCAGTGCTTGGATGAGCTTGGAAGAGACCTTCCTAAATGAGTGACCTTCTTGCATTACTATTAACTCACCTTCCCTCTTTGTATTTCTTCCCTGCTTTTTGCTTTGTTATTTTATAGAGAACAAAGTTTGAGTGTCCTTCAGGACTGTAGCAGTTCGTATCACAGGAGGCCAAATTTACAAGCATATTAGCACCCAAAAAGCTGTCTCAGCACTGCTGCTTTGTTCAGTGAGAGCACCTTGAAAGCCACTGCCTCCATCAGAGATGAAACTCCTTCCAGCACTGCTAGGACACCATGGTCATTCCAGTGGCCAGCCTGCATTTTAACTGAGTAGGCAGATAGCTGTTATTTTCACATGAGATTTTCCACCTTTATTGCAGATTAGTATGGGCAGGGCAATCAAATCATATTAGGAGCTGATAAAAAGAGGTCTTATGCCCTGAACTGTGTTTGCTTTAATTGCAGTTTTGCAACTGACTCCTTTAATTCCTTATGTGTGAAAAGGACTTCTATGAAGTTCTGAAAATAAAATCAGATTTTTTTAGCCCATATTCATTTTTAGGTAAATTAAGTTTCTCCAATTTAATTTAGATTTCAGGAGATACTTATTGTGTGTTAAATAAATACCATCTGCCTCTTAAAACACGTTGATGCAGAGTTAATTGTTATGTAACCAAATATGTCTTTATTACATATTTCTCATAACTCAATCAATATGTTCTTAATAACCTCTAGTTAGTTGCTTCTTAAATAACATACAGTGGATAGCCTGCTAAATCTAAAATTTCATAACAAAGTTATCATATGTTAAATAAATAGTGATTTTCTAGGAAAAAAAAAAAAAAAAGTCCTCTGGGTTTTCAAACCTGAGCTCAGTATTACTGAAGAGATTTAAAGAGACAGCCTCAAGTAGTTTGAGTCCAATTCCTTGTTAAAACGAGATTCCCAGAGCTAACGGATCCAGAAATGTTGCTGTGACCATTTAAAAAATTTTGCTGAAATATGGAAGTGATCCTGTCTAAAACATGCCCGAATTTCTGATAGATTAATCAAAACAAGGGAGATAGTAGTCTAACAGTGACTAATCCTGGAAAAGCTCACGTGCTGAACTTCCAGCCTCGATGTGCCCAGCGCTGCTCAGTTACAGATACATGTCTGTATCAATTTGGAAAATTGGGTCACTGTGCAAGACAAGTAGGAGGTAAAATTGGCCAAGTATAATCTTATCTGTGTGTGGGAATACTGTAAATCTTTGCAGATATTTTTACACAAAGTGCACACCATGGCCCAAATTTTACTTGCCTCACTTGAGTGAATAAACTCATTCACTTCAATGGGACTATTCATGTAAAAAACAGAAGACTGATACTCAGCTGCAAGAGCCTTGGGCTTGGTTTCGAATGCACAGAGGCCCCTTCCATGCTGTTTTGACAGTGTAAAAGGGCCTTAAAAGGATGAATGGCTCTGGCTACATTAGCAAGTACTGTGGTCCAATATAAGTAGATCTCTAGCTCAAAACAGTTGTTAATGAAGACCTGACGTCAACACTGTAGAGGTTTAGGGGTGGGTGTTTCAGCCCAGCTCTATCCTGGCCCCATGACATCATTGGAGCACATCAGGTGTGGTCTTGGAGCACATCTCTGCTCTGGTTTCAGTCAAAACTGGGTCCAGCTTCCATGCTTCAGGACTGCTCTGAGTTCTCTAAGTGGGCAAGATGAAGAGTTTCACTTCAAAAGCTCACTTCTAATCCAAATTAAGATGCTGCTGTAGGTGCACACAGTATGACTCAAGTTCCTTTTATGTCCCTTTTATTCTCTAGAGCTGTGCACAGGCAATGACTTCTGCTTAATGAAAGTCAGGATGGGGGAATTTAGCCTTGTGTTTTAAAACATAACACTGGGCTGGCTGTGTCTCTGGGTGAGCTCCTGACTGGTCTGTGGTTGAAGGGAGAAGAAACATGGAGGTAAAGACCACGTGCCTTTTCCCTACTTAGATGTGGCTTTGCCACAGGTGCCACAGCATCAAGTGCTTTTCTCTTAGGGCCTCAGTTCTAGGAATTACATGATTAATTATGTGGATCCATAATGATAATTCATAGTTCTTGTAAATTTGGGGTTGGCTACCCTATGTCCTCACACCTCGGCAAGAGTAACTACATGAGCTGTTCCTACCTGTTTATCACGTTCAATGGATGGATGCTGTAATACTCTAAAGAGTCATTTACCTGCACATAAATTTGCCATCTTGTGTCTGACCCCGAACTCCAACAGCTGGTTGAGTTTCCAAACACTTCTAATAATCAAATATATCAAGAACCAGCATTTCTTCTTGTGGCTACTACACACAGAATTGGAATACTTCCCATTGTCCATCCTCCCACTAAAAAAAAAAGAGCTTGAAAAACGTTGCATGCGCGTATAATAATATCTAATAAAATAATAACAGAGCCAACAGAACAAGTGAAAACAAGTGAGAAAAAGAAAACTCTGTTCATTTCCTGACTGCATCTCTTAGATGCGTTCATCTGCTGTCGCTAAGCATCCATTCATGAGCCTCCTGTTTGATATGCGTAGGCAGGATGTAAACAGTTATTGTAATAGGGCTCTGCAGCAAATTCTGCTTGGACAGGAAACTTTGAATGCATCTGCTCTTCCAAGTTTTCATTGAGGTGACTGCATTAATTTCCATGAATGTGATGCTATCTTGTTCTTAGCAAGCAAATATTTTGGTCAGTATGGTGTCCCACATGGAGATGGCTGGGCTTGATAATGGCTTGTTTAAACCTTGCTGGAAAGTTTCAGTGCCTTGGAGGGGAGAGCACCAGTTCTGAATTTCAAGTAAGCAGATCCAATTTAGTCTGAAAACAGGCACTCTTTGCTGAAAGGAATGACAGATTTTTACTAGTTTTGAGTTGCTCACTGAACTGGTGCTGGCCCTGAAGAGAACTGTCTGTTTTTCACTAGTAATCTTTAGATTTTTGAATCCACTTCACTGAAATATCATGCTGTAGGAATGAATTCCTCCTGCCCTCTGAACTTCATAACCTGGAATTTCCCCAGTACTTGGCTTATTAGAAAACAGAGAAGTCTAGATTTTCCATTACCCTGCACTTTGGGGAGTCATGTGCACTGGTGTATAAGGTGTCAAATATGCTATCGTTCCTAATTAATGGTGTTTTGAACCAATTTACGCTCATTTTGTCTTGATGTCAGTGGCTGCATAAGGTGTAAGGATCTGGCATAGATTTTCATAAGCCTGTAAATGTGATTCCATAATTAGTTTTGACATTCATGGATGTTTGTAGGATTTGTATGCAAAAGTCCACAGACCAAAATCTTTAACCCAGGAGTCATCCTCTGTGTGTAACTCCTTTCAGCCAGTAGAGTTACATCAGGGTTGAGTTTGGCTCTCAAACTGGAAAAGTAAAAAGAGAAAGTTTGCTCATAGCCTTTCCCACATGATGCTCCTTGTGATTTCTCTTACCTCCAAGTCCTTGCTGGTGAAAGGAAATGTTTGTCCATAAACCTACAGTTTTTTCCACCATGGCAGCCTGTGATGAAATTGTATAGCTGCTAATTTGAGTAAAAAGCAGTTCTAATTGTGGAAACCTGGCTTTCAGAGCCCTGTTCTCATCCAGGACCAAGGGCTAATGCAGGAGCCTCTTTGCAGAGAATCTGAAAGATAGTTATTGCAGGGACTTCTATCCTGACGGCTGGTGGATGTGTCTGAAAAACAACTACTGCACAATAATTCTATCCTTTTATTTCTCAGTGCCTTTTCTTGGATTTTTATTTATTTATTTATTTATTTTTATTTTAATGTATTATTTAGGCAAGCTGAATTGGACACTTAAACCACAGTTAAATAGGCAGCTGAGAAATGAATCATGCCAATAGTCCAGGTAGGCAAAGTGAAACAGAGAGAAGTTATTCACAACCTGCCCAAATTTATACATTGTCAGCACTACGAGCTGTACAAGGAAGAAGAGGGCACCTCTACCTCCCTCTTTTTTATTCCACCCCATTGCCACCTTTTATTCTTCAGGTGTTTCCAGCAGGTGCATCCCTTTCTGCACCACCTGCGAGTTCAGCCTTTTACTGGCTCTTTGCAGGGGTGGCTGTGGGTCATCTTGAAAAGGAGACAAGTTTTACCACCAGTTTCATTCCATGTCCCCCTGTTGACAGTCCCTGCTTCTGCCTAATTGAGCCAACAGAAAGCTGACTTTCAAATAGACATCTGTCAACAAATGGGAGATGCTAAGCTGTGAGGCAGCTGAGCATGTGTCGTCCTTACCAGCAAAGGGGAAGGAGATGGCACAGCCCAGGATTGCTGTGAGAGTAGATTTACAGTCCTGCTGTGCTCGCTGAGGATCCAAAATAAGTTCTGCCTGAGGATGACAACACCCTTTGCAAAGAAACCGAAAGAAATCGTGCAATGGGAGATTTGAAAATTTACATAGCTGATTATAGTAATTGATGACTCAATCCATACTTACTTGGGTAGTTTAAAGTACACTATGTGTTACAAATTGTTTGCTTAAAACTTCTGTCCTTTCCTAGGTGTATTTAATCTTTAAAATATTTCTTTTTCTCCTTTCATTTCGAATGGGCAGTGTTCCTTCAAGGAGAACAGTGAATTCTGAGTATTAAGCAACTTACTGGGATGAGTAACTACACATTCTGGGTCACACACACAGTTCCAAATTTTGTGACCCCAAGGAACTTAGAGCTGAACTGTGAGTTGCATCTTCAGCTGGTATAAATCAGCTTCATGTTATGGAAGACATTGGAGTTATTCCAGTCTACACCAGCTTAAATCCTGATCCTGTGAATGTATTAGTAAAAATATTTGTGAATTGATGTTTAACTGGATTTTCATGTCCAAAAAAATGTCCATGTTTCACTTCTGCTGATAGTTTTTTATTGATAGTAGCTGGTATTAGATGTATTGTGTAGGTGAAGTAACGTTGGCATGGGACAGTGAAGTGCCTGTCTTAGTGCCATGCCATCTGATGGCATGGAGCCATAAGACATTCCAGTTCAGAAAGAGTCATCCACTGGTGCCAAAGCTGAAGGTTTCCCTTGAGAAAGAGATTAAGGGCATGTTCTTTTCTGTATGTTCATAACTCACCATTTTTCCCGGCTTACAGTGATCTGTGACACCCCTCCAAAAGCAGGTCCTTGCATCCTTAGCAAAGCTGTGCTTCACAGAGCACATCTGTCTGTTCTTCTTAGAGCCTGGGACTTCACCCTCTCCTCTAAAGACCAGTAAGCTCAAGGCCTTCACAATCCTCAAGATGCTACAAGTTCAAGCAATACATCCATGGTGGGAGCAGAAATAGATCTCATACCTCCTGAGGACAGTTTCTGTGTTCTAACCACTAAGCATCACATATTCTTTTGTCAGGGTTTGATGCAGTTGTGGAGCGGGAGGGGGGAAGAAAAAGTTATAGCTGAGCATGATTTCACAGTTTGCTGTTGTTTTGTGTTGGGTAGTGGACTCAGAGATGCTGTCTACACAACCTGCTAGCCCAGACCTACAGAAGGTCAGCATCAGAAAACACTCTTGTCTGTGCCTTGAGAAAACAGGGTTAAGTGGAACTGAATTCTAAGTCTTATTGCTTTTAATATAGTTGAATAAGCAGCTCATTCAGCTGTTACTAAGTTGGTGTGTTTTCCTGTTTTCCTGGCCTCCTAGAGAAGTGGGATCAGCATGTGATCTGTGTGTGGAAGGAAGAGTCCTGGTGCAATACGCCTTCAGCGCCTCTTCTCCGATGCCCTGTGATCCCTCGGGGCACTGGAGCCCACGGGAAGCAGAAGGTGAGTTGCAGGGCTGGGGACAAAGACATGGTGGGGAGAAGATGGGCCAGAGCAAAAGGAGAGTCACAAAGACAAAATGGGAAAGTCTGGGAGAGAGTGATTGATCTTACCTGTAGGTAGCATGAACAAAACTAGAGGACAGATGAATACACTGTGCCCTGAAGTAATGCCACTGGCTGAAGTACATGAATTTTGACCCCTGTGTCCTGATCTTCCCTATGAATTAAATGAGTTCTGGAAGTTGAACCTGAATTTCAGAAAACAGTGGAGTGCCTAGAAATGCTGACCATCCACATCTGCCAGATGAATTAATGAAGGGAAATGTTGACTCCTTCTACTCCAACTCTGCAAGTGAGGAATTGCATGTTATTTATTGGGACCCGATTTCTGCTGCCTTCTCTGGTGTTGAATAGTAGTGGGCTGCACCAGCAGACAGGCTGACAGGAGATTGCCCTGTGGGCAAGTGCTCTGCAGCATGAGAGCAGGTGACTATGTCAAGCCTTTTCTAGTTCAGGGTGTTTTGCAAGACATTCCTATTGCTTCTCTTGGAGCATATTGGCAGGATAATGGTCTGCAGAGATGGTTGTACAATGCCATTAGATTTCCACCACTAATTCTCCTCTATATGTACCTTCCATTACTTAAGTAGGTGGATGCCATAGAGCATATTTAAGTTTATACCAGGCAGAGGTCAGCAATCACAAACTATGGTTTGGGAAGAGCAGAATGCTATTTCAGTCTGGCCATCATGAGCTGTTCCTTTGGGAGCAGCACACTCTGGACCCAGACTTCACTGTAAACACACAGGTGGGCTTGGTGACTCAAAGGCCAGTCCCTGGATTTTGCAAAACCATTGTACAAATACATCCTTACATTAAGGGCTTCTCTGTCCTGCAGCTGGAGTACGTGGGCGTTGTTCCACAAGGAAGATGATTTGTAAGTTAATATGGTGATCTGTGCAGTGCTGGCACCCAGGAGCCCTCCCTGGTCCTAAGGTCAGCATGTGCAGCAAGCTGCATCCCCACTGCATGGTGAGACAACATGTGTGGGCAAGTGTCCTCTGACCTGCACACCTGTGTCCCTGGGTGGGGGGCCAGTGGAGATTATGGTTCACTCCAACTCACCCCACAGATTCACAGAATGTTAGGGGTTGGAAGGGACCTCAAAAGATCATTTAGTCCAACCCCCTTGCCAGAGGACCCTACCAATCTGGACATCCAAGGGCCAAGGCTACCAGGTACAGCCATGAGTGCCCCTGCCCCTTGGGTGGGTGTTCAAGAGCTTTGACAGAGGCAGCAGTGCTCCAGCTCTGAGCGTGGCTGGATGATCGAGCGAACAGGATTAGCACAGTTTGGATCATTTGCCACAGTAGTGCAGGGTAGAAGCTGGAATTTCTACTAAGCCAAGGATTACAAGACTTTGAAACTTGGTTTCATTTGGAACAAAACCTGAAACTTTTGAAATTCTCCGTGAAGGAAAATTAAAACCAAAAAGTGTTTGGGGCTGGCCAAAATGTTTTGTGTAGCTCATATAATTCCTCTTTCATGAACTTCAGTTAAATGATGACATTTGAAAATATCCCCTTTTAGTTTATAATCTAGGGCAAAGGCAACTTTTAATATCAAAAGTGCAAAAGTGAAACAATTTCTTCCAAAAATGGCAGAACACAACGTTCCAATATTGTTAGAACTTTCTTCCCATATTCTCTTCCACACTAAAATTTTGGCCAAACGAAGCCAGTTTTGCAAAGAGTTCTGCTTTTGAAAGAACTGTGTATTCCATTGAGGTACACAAGTCTGTCAAAATTTCTCCGACGAGCTCTGATTTGAAAACTTCTAGATCTCACACATCTTGCCAGCGGCATCGTTCCTAGAGAAACTAAGCTACTCTAAGATTTATTACTCAGCTGCATTTTGCATTTAATTTCCTCTTCTTACAGTGTGTGCCTGCATGTTCTTAACTGTGAAGGGTGCAGTCTGATCCTTATCGTTCTCATTCAGTTGCTGTTGTGCCATTGCTCTGGAAAGAAAATTTGGGAATCCTATCCTCTTACTACGTTAGCAAGTTGTCTCCACTTTAGGGTAGAAAATATACCAAGTGTATGGTATCTGTTGCCTGTAATTTTCTGTCATCACTACCACACTCCCTGACATTCAGGGTCTCTGCCTATTTGCACTTGCTTTTATAAATAGCACAGTTAGATCATTGTCTGGCTTCTTTAATTGTCTATCTGTGAATATTCAAGCATGCAAGCTTTAAATTCACTTTCTGCAGGTGTTCATGTGTGTAAATCTCCACTGCTTGAATGTTCAGGGAAAGTGAACACAAAGGAGACATAAACATGGCTCGTTTTAACAACTTGAGATGACATTTTAAAATTTTAGAAGACCCTCATGGAAAATGTTTTGAGGTCCTCATCCAGCTTCTTAGCAGAAAACTGTATTTCTCATGTATCTCTGAAGCAGCTCTGAACTTGGTTGGTCTGATTTAATTTTCCTGAGGTCTCAGGACTCAGGACTGAGTCTCAGGACTCAGCATTGTCATGCTGCAGCTACCCCAGGTAGCTGACACCAGCTGTGCTCTGGACAACGTGAGCTGTGCCCATTGCAAAGCTCTGCTGTGGGGTCTGTGTCCTTCCTGGTGTTCTGCTTGTGTGTTCAGCCCCTGGGCTGAGGTATTCTGTGATTCCTTCTCAGCCAGTTGTGCCCCTTGCAGGAGGGGCTGTGTGCTCCTTGGCAGTGCTTGTGGGTAGGCACTGGAGATGAGACAGTTCTGATTTACTCTTTGCCTTTGCCATAGAGCAAGGAAGCTCTAGCCTGCCTGGATTCTCACCAGCAACACCAGGTAGATAAACAAAACTTACAGCACCTCCACAACTCAGTCAAAGGGGTTTTTTACATATGAAAGGTGATTTTGGCTCAAACTCAAGTAAGTACCTTTGCTTACTGTGCAATGCATGCCTGTGTCAGCCAATTGCTGCTGCCTGGCTCACTGTTGACTAAGGGAAGTGTGAGAATATAATAAAAAATCTTGCTGCCTTAGGCTGCTCTAGTGCCCTGACTTTCCCAGTGGTCGATACTTCACTCGAGAGTGTTTCGTTCTGTATTTGCAAGTGGAATTGTCTCAGTTGGACATTAGAGTCCCACTGGATGGTTCCTTTGTCTTGACCACCTAAGAAATGTGGCAGGTGAATTGTAGCTGTGGCAGCAGCTGGATCCCCACAGGCTGCTGATCCCAGCTGGCCTCCCCATGCAAGTGTGTCAAGTCTCTGTCCGTGTCTACAGGCAATGGAGGGACATTCATCACAGCACTTCACTGTGTGGTGAAGGCTTGTGCTGGCACACCAGGCTGTGGTTGTGGCTAACATTTTAGGGGAAGGCTTTCTCCAATTCTGCCATCCCTGCTCTCTCACCAGGAGGTGGGATTTAGCTTATCCTCACAGACCTCACAGTCACGTTTTGTGTTAGGTTAGACAGGAGGTTGTATGAGGTGCTATTCTATGACCAATCTTGCTAGCAATCTTATAAACCAAAGGGTTTTCAGAACCTGAGTGAACAGGGGCAGAATAACTGCTCCACCATTTCTTTTTATGTCCAAATATTTGTAATTTTCATAGCATTTGCACATCTCTAGATATCTAGAGTTACATGGAATAAGGTTTCTGTCCTCTTCCACAATTAAATGAATGTTTGTTACCCACGGGTAAGTGTTTGATGATATTTAAGAAAGGGTTTCTTTCTCTCAACTTCATTGAGGTTTTTAATTTATGGATTACTGCATTCATATGCCCATTTTTGGGGTAAGGATCTGCATTAAACTCCCTGGAGGCTGAGTCCAATTCATGTAACTCCAGGGATCACACCCTGTTTTACCAAAATGTATAGGTTTATTTACTAAGTCTTACAGAGGCTTTGAACTGGCAGAGGTGAATTTGCAGGAACCCAAGTGGGGAACACTTTTGAAGACATACTAGGCTGTAAGCCATCGATCAACTCCCTTTTCCTATAGAATCATAGAACCATTAAGGTTGGAAAAGACTTTTAAGATCATCAAGTTCAACCATCAACCCAACACTACCATAACCACTAAACCATGTTGTAAAGTGCCACATCTTATCTGTGAGATGGCAGCAACAAGATTGACAGATCTTTCCAAAGCCCTCTGAGATATTAGGGTTAAAAGCAGCCTTCTTAGGGCTGCAGTCAGGAGCTTGCTGTGAGCCTGTGAGAGTCATCAGAGGGTCCAGCCAAGCACATGCAGATGGCAACAACTGTTGTGAGATAACGTGAGTCGAATGGGGTATTCACTACTCAGAATGATTATCCACAGTACTTGCAAGCTTGCCAGGGAGAAAAAAACTTGAGCGTGTTAAATGGAACTCTGGCTTTCTTCAAAATCTATCATTGCTGTGGTCTTTCCAGATGCTGAGGTTAGTGGCATTCCCGCTGCTCTGTGGCAGGCGAGGAGGAGAGGAGGGCTATGGGTGTGTGTGGGTGAAGGAGAAGTGTTAAAAGTGGTGCATCTGCAGGACCATTGGGTGGTTGGGGAGGGCAGCCTCAGATACCAGGAGAGATATGCTGCATCTGGCTTCATGTGGGATGAACATGAGAATTCCCTGTGCTGTTTATCCTTGACAGAAGAGGCACATTTCTAACACTTGACTGGATCACAGACAATAACAATAACCTTCACACATTGCCCTTTTCTCTTCAAATTAGTAGCGACGTCCTGTTTGCTCATGTTTGCCCAGTGCTTTATCCTTTATCTCACTTTCTTCCTCTGGTGCAAACAGCTGTGCTCTCTTTTTTCTTTTTTTTTTTTTTTTTTCACTTTGCCTTCTCCTTTTCTCTCCTCTCATTACCTTTCTTTATCTTTACTTTTCCCCTTTTTCTTTTCTGTACTTTGTCTTCTCCCTATCCTGCTTGCTGCCTTGTGATTATTTGGGAAGGAAGAGGGAATTTATAGCTCTCACTGGATTCTGTTACCAACTGTTCCACCCATCTGACCTCTCTGGATCTTGCAGTCCGTGACTCCGTGCCAAATTGTAATGTTACCATAGTATTTGGGAGCCCAGCAAGCATTGTGGCTTTCATTAGTTTTTAGTAATACCTCCCGTGTAGTTGAACATAGCCAACGGTGAGAAATGTAAAAGTACAAGTGCCTGTTGTTTCATCCCAACGAGTGCAAAGAGAACTCAGACCTGTGCTCCATGTGCCTCCAAAAAAAAAAGGCTCTTACACAATGTGCTAGATTAGCCTGTAAATGGCAAAGGAGTTGCCCCTCAACAGCACAGTGCAACAGCTTCTTGGAATCAACAAAAGCTCTTTTCTTGGCTTTGTTAAAGTGAAAAATATTGTGCTTTAGAGTGAGAGGCAAGGGAATAAGCAGGAGCACAGAGGTGAATGGAAGGCAAAGTGATGCTGTTTATCAGGTGAAGTACCAAGTGGAAGGGCAAGAAAACATTGTTTGGCCCAGAGGAAGGCACTAGAAATAGGAATTACAGGACCAAATGCAGAGGTACAGGATGTGTTGTGTGGTGTCTGGTCCAGCGGGGCACTTAAACCGGGTTTGCATCTCATCTGGCCAGGGGATGTTGGCATTTTGTTCCTCATTTCCATGCTGGCCAAGCCTCTTCTGCTCAAGTAAATAATTAGTTTCCTGGACAGATATGTTCTCCTGCCATCAGTTTGTCTTTCAAGAATGATGCCAATGGTAATACATGTTTGCTAAAGTCCTTTTTGCCTTGTCTTTGCTTCCTTCTTTCTTTCCAGGCCACCCTGATGTTGAGCAGCCTTGTAAGTCCAGTGTCAGAACATGGAGTCCCAACTCTGCAGTCAACCAACACACGGTGCCCCCGGCCTGTCCCGAGCCTCAGGGCTGCTACCTGCAGTTGGAGTTCCGTTATCCCCTGACTCCAGAGTCCCTCACAGTCTGGGTGACGTTTGTTTCCCCAGACTGGGACTCCAGCGGAGCAGTGAATGACATCAAGTTGCTCACCGTTAGCGGGAGGAACATTTCTCTTGGGCCACAGAATGTCTTCTGTGACATCCCGTTGACAATAAAGCTGGATGCAGGACAAGTGGGCGAGGAGGTGTATGGGATCCAGATCTACACTCTGGATGAGCACCTGGAAATTGATGCTGCCATGCTGAGCTCTGTCCCCAACAGCACGCTGTGTGCAGACTGCAAACCCATCCAGTACAAGGTGGTTCGGGACCCTCCTTTCCAGTCTGGATCTCCAGTTGTCATCTCAAACCTCAGCAGGAGATTTGTTGACACGTAAGTACTGCTTTCCAGAGGGATGAATAGACTTGTTCAGAGAAAAACAGTGACCTGTTGTTTTCATCTTATTAATGTCTATCATCACAATTGATTGTTAAGATTTTGAACTAGATAGATGTACCAGGCATCACCAAGAGAGAATATTCTCACAGTTTCTCTCTGGAACCAGAAGCATCACACTCAGGTGAAATATCCCATGATTTTGCAGATAGTTTGTGAGAATTTTCTGGGCTGGTTGTGCAGAGGTGTGAAATTCAGGCTTTGCTTAACCAGAAAGGATATTGCCAACTACCTATGACAAGTTAAATGTTTAAGATAACCTGAATGAAGACCTCTGGAGTAGCATGACCATAATTTTCTTAGAAGTTTTTTGAAAGTACTATTTTTATGGAGGCAAAATGGCTTTCAGTGCTGACGCACCAATGAACTACTTGTAGTTCATGAACTACTACAAAAACTCACACTTGTATGTTCAGGTATAGAAATGATTTTTGACCACTTTCATTTTCTGCTTTCAAGTGTCACTAAACCAAATTGTGTTGGAGTGAGAATGTTCTATCAGAGTAAACATGCCCCGTGCATTAGGTTGTTGTAGGGACAGAGTTTCCTTCCAGCTACACTCATCTCATCAAGGAATGCATGACTGTTGAGGAGAATAGAGTACAACTTCAAAATATTGACTGATTTCAAGGAGATCCTTGATCTACCCATAGGCATTCTACAGCAGGAAGAAAAACATCTTTTGCATAACCTGATTCCCTGGAAATGATTCACTCATCTGTGGGAACAACATGAAGCTCTTTTGAAAAATGAACACCAGATAAAAGGAAACCTGCTAAGAAAACTGCACGCTCATTTAGAAAAGATGATCTAATTAGCACAGCTAATATCAAGGAAGCATACATCATTATGGTCTTCTAAAGCATATTTAAATATAATAAAAATGATTAATTAACAATTCAGTAATCACGACCTACCATCCCTTTCATGGCCAAATTATACAGCTCAGAAGATGCAAATTGTCCCTATGGATTTAAAAATTCAAAGTAACTAACAGTAGTGAATCTGAAAACAAGGCCCGGGACGTCACTGGGGTTACTCATGTGCTGAAAGTTAAGCATGTGCTTAGGCGCTTTCTTGGGTTGTAGCTTTGTTCCAAAAATTGCTGGCACTTAACCTGAGATGAACATTGGCATATTGGAAACATGGAAAATGGTGCATTTTCCCATGGTTTTGCTGTGAAAGCATCTTTCCCTGAAACCTCGCCCGCTCTCATTGGAAAATGGGACTGGTTTACTTTGAAATATTTGCGTACCTTAGCACAAATACCCACAGAAACAGGTCCAGTTTTGACTTCATAACTAAATATCAAAATTTTTAAAGAAAGAAAGAAAAGCCCAAAACATAACTTGTATTCTGAGTTCTGTTTCCTTGTGTTTTATCATGATTTTGTGGGTTGCTTCTAGCTTATAGGTAGCTGAAGTGAAATGAGGCTCTAATAATTAAATCAGTAGCCAGGGATTAATGACAGTTTCCCTGTGTGTCACTGAATAAACCAGGTGGGGTAACATTACTGTACCTGCCTGTGTGTCTCACCTAGTTACAGAGACAGCTAAAAGTCAGGCATAAAGTTTACATCAGTCTTTCTGGGTTCTACCTCTGATCAATAGACAGGAATGGGTGTTCCTGGAGATTGACCCAGCCAACCTCACCAAACCCTCCAGTCTAACTGTCCTCAGATTGGCTGTATCTTTGAAGGGGGCTACTGGGAAAATCCTGAGAGTGAGCTGCGATGAGACACTTGGAAAGCTAATATGAAGTTTTTAGTCAAGTTAAGATGCAGATTCTTAAGCGCTCAGTGTTGGTTTTGATTCAAGTCTCCTTCACAGGGTTGAAATTCTGAAAAGCGGGGTGATTTTTTTTCCTCCTAATATCCATCTGTGCACAGCACTGATCCGTATCCCCTGGTGATGAGGGGTCATGCAGGTTTTCAGGCTGATCCTGCTGAGCCACACTTTGAAAGATAGAAAACTCGCTGAAACTCTGCATGAGGTTGTGGTTCTATGGTAGAGGCAAAGGCAAGATGAACTTTCCATTAGCACCTCGTGCAAGGAGTAGCCACGGTCCTTGTGCTCCGTAAGCAGGCAGGAAAGAAGGTGCTCAGGGAAGTCAGGGACAGAGGTGCTGGGCTGTGCTCCTGCAGATGTGTATGTGTAGGGGTCAATGCAATCTTTCTTGAGCCGTTTGTGTCATTCTGTACAGCTGGAATTCAGCATATCTGTGCAACCAGACTTTGCAACCCCTTTATCTCTCTGTACACCCTAAGCCAGTTACCCCTCCTTTGTGTGTTTTCCATATTAAATAAAATGACCCCCCCCAACATGTTCTACGGAAGGTTATTTTGAAGGCAGTCCCATATCTTTACTCTTGCCTCCTCTGACCTTGATCTTCGCTTCCTTTTTCTCCCTAAGAAAATATTTGCTTGCACTTTTATCTGTGAGCAAGATCCTTTCCCCAGGTGTGGCGATGCTGAAAGAAAAATTAATTTCTCCTGCCTTCTTCCAGTCAAAGAGAGGGAACTTCTCTTTAAGCTGAGAGGAGAGACAGCCTTTAATGGATAGCCCTTGCATAGTCAGCACTGGGTGCTTCACAGAGGAGAGTAAATAACTAGAACAGTGGAAACCTTTTATTAACAAATGCAAAATAATGCCAGACATTCTGTTCTCAAGCTAAATTTTCATTTCAGCTGCTGGCTCAAGCTGAGGCTAACCAACATTTCTAAGGGACAGGACGTTATCTTTGGACCTTGCAGAAACCAGGCAAGATGCACTCAATTCCACTGAGTGTGATGGGTCAGAATTGCAGGTATCTGTGATGGAAAATGAGAGTCAGTGCCTAGGAAGAGAGTAGGAAGCTAAATAAATCAGTGGGGGGAAAAAAGAGGTCAGGCCAGGTGCAGCACAGAACTGCTGAGTCTTCACAACGCAGCAAGTGATAAGGAAGGAGCCTCATCTGCAAGTCTCAAAGTCTCAGCTCACAATTTAATCCAAAGTTTGGGTTGTGCTCGTATGTAGAGGGTTGCACTCTGGATCTTCTTGAGAAATAATGTCCAAGTTAGCCACAACGATGAAGGTGGTAGTTGCTTTGCCCTACTGTAGTGCTCTTGTGCTCACATGGTTGCAGCTGGAAGGTTGCTCCTGCAGCCATTTGTAACAACCACTGATTTCTGAAGAGCTCAGTGAGAAGTGAGCACCCACAACAAGATGCTCTCCTGAGGATGTCTTGGGGACAGTTAGGTGTCAGTCCCACCAAGTCAGCCGGGGGTGAGTAGCCCGTGTTCCCTATGGCACTTGTGAGCAGCCAGGTATGCTGGTGAGATCTCTGCTCTCCCCACTGGCAGGACAAGCTGAGAGACACCAAGGTTAGTTTTGGAAAGTTGTCAGAATAACCAGAAAAGTTTCTAAGAATTGGAAGTTTTCCCAACTTTTCTGCCACAGACTTTGTAGGAAACCTCAAAACGTGGTGGATGGCGATAGATCGTGTCATCTTTGTGCTGTTAACCCATAGATTTTTTAAGAGGCATTGGCTGAAATAGCCATAGAAAGAATTCCAGCATGAAGCCCTGGTACGAGTTTTGGTTTTGCAGAGCTGAGCGTCACTGAGAAGCAGGTATGATCTCTGTGATATATTCATCTATGCCTAGAGCTTTAGCGCCTCAGTGACACCTAGAGATACTGCATTCCTACTCAAAAAAGAAAAAGAAAGAGATGCTGGGAGAGAAACCTGCATTTTATCATGTAGAGAGCATGTTTTTTCTTCTTGTTTTTGACTGATTTACACCCACATTCTATGGCTAAACCTTTACTGTCACTTGGTCGTTGTTGGAGGGTACTGGTCGTCATCTCTGTACAGTTTAAACAAGTACAATATTTTTCAATATTTTGTTAGAACCTGGAGTTCCGTTCAGTGCTAAGTTTGCAAACTCCATGTCATTGACTGTGTTTTCACTCCACACCCACGAGTGCAGATCTCACTGGGGCTTCTTGGACTTCTTGGCTGAATGGCTGAGAAATTACCATCATCAAGGTGGCCAGCTGTTGGAGGGCTGCTGTAGCATTGCTCATGGGCCCTCAGCATTTTGTCTCCTTCAGCGCTGTACTTTATTGAAAACAATTATTTGTTCCTAAATTCAGGCTATTGATGTGTTTGTCCTTTGTTACTGTATCCCATCAGAAGGCTGTGTGATAAGTGACTTGGCAGAAGCCCCTGATAATGAGTAGCAGAAGGAGATGGAAATCAGTTCTCAATCTGTATGTGTGTGAAACATCAGGTAAATTCCTACAAATATGAACAAGCAGAGAGGCTGGAGAACCAGCGGTGGCCATTCATAATGACCAATGATTAATTCCAGACAATTATTAGTGTGCCTTTTAGCCGCTGATCTTCATAGGAGGGCTGCACTTACATGTCACAGGCTCAGCTGAACAGAGGACTGGGAAAATATGGCTATCACAATGAGGGTATGTAAACCCAAGACCCTGCTGAATGCAAGACTAAAATTTCATGGCAACATCTGTCCTTATTATGGCATTCCTTCCTTCATCTTGAAGATCTATTTCTCTATTTTCTGAAGGTCTACCAGCCAGAGGAATGTATGATCTAAAGCAGCTGAAAGGAATTGCCAGATCCATCTGTCATGAAGATAATTAACACCATATTTCCACCCAAACAAGATACAGATCACTGGATGGATGTTCTCCCGACACCAAAAGCTGAAGCCCATATTATCACCATCTTATATTTACCCCTCCTCCACAGTTACCACGCCAAGACTCTCTTGATATGCCAGGAAATACTGAGGAGTATCTAAGATAGGACTGAAATGTTAAGAAAGCAGTTTACGTGCCCAGATTTATCTGCTAGAGCTGGTAGGTTGTCCGTGCGATATCAGCACCCAGTGCATCTGGATTCCCAACAGGCTTTAGAAGTATATGTGG